GAAAAGTGCAATCACAAGGAAGCCATACCTAAAAACTTGTTCAGACAAAACGAATTTGGATACAAATACTTCATCAGCAGGGGTGTCTTCACGTGGAGCAATCGGAAGGTCAAGAAACGACACAGCATCGTCATCAAAAGAACCAGGTGTAGATACATTTGACATGGAGGGGGCTGCCTGTAAGAGGAAGGCAATGAACATAAAAACAAGTACGTTTTCCATCTGGTAGGTGAGGAAAAGACGTCGAGGAAGACAGTGAGACCATATTTCCATGATGTGTTTGGCAGTATACAATTAAGTTTTAATGATTAACGCATTAGTCCGATAGGGTCCAAGTCCGAAACTTGGTTGCGGGCAAGCGATTTTGCAGCTTGCCGCATAACCTTGGAGAAATGCATTCAAATACATACCCAGGTTCAAAAATGGTGAATTGTGCGGCTCAAATACTAAGGACAATATGGTAGGTAACATAAATGTGAAGGAGTTAGAAAATTCTGCCTGAAATGTCTCATATAAAAACCACGCCCGACCGCGCTTGTGCGTACATGGGACGAAGAAAGGGCATGCACGGACGAGTTCTCACCTGTTGGTGTTGCCAGCTCGTTCTCCTTATCATTTCGCTCTGAATAATCGAGAAGGAGAGAGCGAGTAGCGCAGTAACCGCATCACCAGCCAGGAAGCATTTAAAAATGAAAATGGGCGTTGCAGTGGCTAGTGGGAGGAGCCTTGGCTTCGCAGCACCCGGCTCGCGCATTCCTTACGTATTTTTGAGCTGCGAATGTACCACATACTCTATGTTTGCGATCAACACTACCTTATTCGAAGAAGCCGTCTGAGTATCAAAAGGACGCGGAGCGTGACTTTAAATGACCCCTTACACAAAAATGGGGTTCTCTCAACGGAGATGAGGACTTTCACCTAAGGCTGGAGGAGGGGGAGCTGGAGGGTGAACCATTCTGAACCGGATGGCAAACCACTTTAAATGATGGCACTTCTATTCGGATGACGTTAGTTTCACTTTTGCCCAATGAGTCCTTTGAATACCCCACACCTGGGTTATTAGAGCTAGGTTTAGTTACAGCACTTTATAGCACTGCGCAATGGAGGTGAGGATTTTCTACCAAGCCTATGGCTGTGGGGGCTTCGAGGGGAAGGAGATGAACAGATTTGCAGGATGGTACTTCCTTCTGATTGAGGTTAGTAGTCCCCTTTTTGCAAGGATCCTTCAAATGTCCTCCCAGGATTAGGGACTTCCTCATCTTCTGTGATAAGAACTGAAACCGCATGATAAGTATTCACCACTCCAAAAGAACATTAGACTACGATCAATGTTCCCCTTTTCTAATGCTGCTTTCCGCGGGGCGATGTTAATGTTATCGGAAAAGTGCTGAGTTATGCGCAAAATGCACTGCTCCAGACGAGACCCAAGCCCAGCCGTTGCCGTTAGCCAGCGTTCAGACTTCGCGACGGCAGCGCTTCGGTCGCGCGTTCGACGCGATCGATGCGCATGCTTTCGACTGCATCGATCGCGTCGAACGCGCGACCGAAGCGCTGCCGTCGCGAAGTCTGAACGCTGCCTTACGGCACCCACGTGCGGCTCACTTTGCGCCAGTGATGTATACCATTTTCACTTTAAATTCACCACTTTTCAAAGCAAATTCCAAATTACCACTGGCTTTTAGACAGCGAGCATTCACCCAACCAAATCTAGCCAGACCCAACACCTGCGAGCCCTGCCATCACGGTCACGCCTACTGTCAGCGCGGACATAGATTTACACATGATCCCGAACTCCGCCCAGTCTTTAAAGGGTTTGTTGCGAACTTCGAAATTTCATAACTTTTTCAACTTTTTAATTTCACATCCACTCTTTGCACAGCGAAGATACTCGTAACCGCGCATTCATGCTTCGGCAATTCAGGCTCCGCCCCCTTGGCCACGCCCACTTGCTTTTTGCGGAAATTTTATATTTTTTCGAAATTTTTGCATTTTTGAACTGCCCACGAAGCCCCGCCCGCTGAGAGAAACTCCGCCCACTTTGAAGAAGCCCTCGCATTTTCAAAAAAAATTGTGCTGATCGGCAGTATAAAGCCTTGGCTTTGTATGCTAGGGCCTCGTCCGTCACTCGGAACAAATTAATCAGGCAAAGTTTGTTCCGAGTGACGGACAGGCCGTAGCATGCAAGCCAGGGCTCTATGCTGCCGATCTGCACCATTTTTTGAAAATGGGCTTGGTCAAGGGGGTGGAGTCTGAATTGCCGAAGCATGAATGCGCGGCTACGAATATCTTCGTTGCGCAAAGAGTGGATGTGAAATTAAAAAGTTGTAAAGTTATGAAGTTTCGAAGTTCGCAACAAACCCTTCAAAGACTGGGGTAGTCGGCCATGTGTAGAAAATCTATGTCCGCGCTAACAGTAGGCGTGACCGTCGAGCAGGTCGCAGTGTGTCCGGCGTGCATCTGGTGGGTGAGTTTTTTGGGTTTTTACTGCCCGGTCTAAAAAAATGGTGAATTTGTTTGAAAAGTGTGAATTTGCTTTGAAAATGTGACTTTTGCTTTGAAAAAAGCGGTGATTTGCTTCAAAAATGTATATATAATAATAAAATATACAATAATAAATGATGATGATGATGAAAATGGTATATATAGCAGCAATACATTGCAAAATGCAGTAAAAAGCAATTAGTAACAAAAAACATGTGTCGAAAGCTGTGATTTGTGCTAGATCTTTCAAGATAACGCCTCATTGCCGATATCAGTACTCATCAAGCTGGGAGCAGTAAGCCGTGGCGCAAACCGAAATTTCAAATTTCAGAAGACGGGAAAAGCCGCATGTGGTGAAGGTAGTGCGGTGGGAAAGCAAGATTGAGCAAGGCATATAACACCCACAACACCTATTGAAGGATGATTCAAAGGTAAGTTGTTGAGCTCATTAGAAAAAATGATTCGAGGAAAGGAGAACTTTTCTCCGCTGTTGTACCATTTTCACAAAGAAAGGTCCTACTCGGCTTACCTCTTGAAAGGTCCCAGAAACGACTGTGGAGGGTTGGAAGGCAACTCAGTCTGCGGTGAGAGACAAAATGCACTCAACTCGCTGTGTGTAGAAATTGTACCACCTATACCGGAATCCACGCAAGATGTAGTAAGAGCTAAAGAACAGAAAAAATTAAACGGAGAATTACTAAAAATTCAGTGGACGTACCATTGGCGACTTTCTCACTGTCTACGCCACCGGTGTCTCTAGCAGATTTCTGGTCTACGATGTCTTTCTCTTCAACTATGTCATCCTCAGACAGTTTTGAAAACGAAGACGAGCTGGCTTTACTCATATCAGCGGTAGAGCTTTCAGAGCTACCTCTAGCAAACTAAATGCCAACAATGGTTTTACCTGGGATTTCATTAGGAAGTCTAGGTTCGCACAAACTGCACACAAAACCATCCGACCTGACGAAGAAATGAAAAACAAGAAGCTTTGCCGCTGGTCAGTCCCTTCTTGGGATGCGCCTGCTACTCCCTTTTGGGACCAGTCCTACAAGTTTCTGAAGGCGATCTGGCTCCAGTTTAGGCAGCCATCGTGTGTGAAGTGACTGTGTCACTGTGTGCAATACGACGCTCTCGCATCTCGGCCTTTCTCCACCCTAGAAGTCCTCCTGCCTGGTAGCACTTGCCTCTCTAGTATGCCACCCAAACTCTCCTAGTGGCCCCGCTAGTTTTCGCCATTCTTTTCTTGCAAGAAATTCTCACTTCCTTCATTCCCCCCCCTCGCCCTCCCCTACGAAACTGACGTCTCAATTGAGACGACCTTGCCAAATTTTTCCCAATATGGGCAACTTCCGTCACCAACAGGCTTTGGAAATCCTAATGTTTCAAACCCTGACATTTCACTTTACACTTACGTTTGTGAGAGGGCTTCATCAGACTGCACTGGGTTATCAGACGACACCAGAGCAGAGATGTTCACTAAATCCATTGGTGTCCCTACCACGTCGATTGGATCAGGAGGCAATTCATCGACATTGACCTATAACAGGAATCGCAACATTCAAGTGCTAAAAAGGCAATAAAAATCTTAACATACGTCTCCAGATTCCAAATTTTCTGAACTTTGGAGTGTTGCCGTTGTATTAGATGCAGATGTTGACCTTGACGTGGAGGTACTTTCCTGAAAAGAAAAAATCGTAAAATTACAAGCAGAACACGGTGAAAGTTTTACAACCTGCGCACAAGAATCCGTCATTGTGCAATTAGACTCGGATTTACTGTAGCGACTATCGACCATGTACTCGTCAAGATACCGTAGCTCACTATAAGCGACACCTGCATTTCGGCTTGAGATGCGATATTCATGATATATGGAATCGTTCAAGAAGGAATCATCCAGCTCTCCTGTTGTGCATGTCAGATCAGTCTGGAATAAAACCAACTTTGGAGATATAGAATGGCTTATGAAAAGCATTAGCCACAAACTACTTTGGCGCTAGTCCAGTATAGGTCTGCAGTCCAATACATAGCATGTCAGGATATGCCGCACCGTCGCAAGACGTGCCGTGACCTGCCAATGGCGAGAAAATTGCATCAACGGTAAGCATACATTTTACGCCCTTCCTTGGATTTTTTTTCATAGTGATGGCGAAGGCCTGCCCGGCGTTCAAAAACGGTCGGTCATGCTGCTCAATTACTAATATGGCGAATAACACAAAAGTGAAGGAGAGACCCGTACGGAGCGCTTCATATAGAAAGGAAGAAAGAAGTGCCCCATATAGAGCCCCATGCTGAGCCACGCTTTTACGTACGGGCGAATAAAGGGCGTGATCGGACGAGTTCACTTGTTGATGTCAGCTCTTTATCCTCCTTGTCACTTCAGTCTCACCACTCAAAATGGGGTTGGCGGCAGAACAACCGCAGCACCACAGTACTGTGGAAAACGAAAGTTGGGCATTGCTGTGGCCAATGGGCGGAGGGCCACGTCAGGAGCCTCAGCTTTCCGACGTGCTTTTGAGCTACGAAAGCAGTAGACTCTATGCCTGCGGGCAGCATTACCATCTGAACACCAGACAAGCGTGGAGCGTGCGTTGAAAGAGGTAGCGAGGGTCTTCGTGTGGGTCTAAAGGAAGGAGATGCAGACCACCAACTCCTTTGCAACGAAAGGGTTCCCGCATCTCATGAAAAGCGGTTCACCACGAGAGTTCACCCTCTTCCCACGCCAGTAACCTGTCATACAACATGGGGCATCTTTCGACACTTGAAGGCGACCGCGATTGCATATTGTGGGAAGTAGCGTTCAATAACGGACCTGTAGTCACTAAGCGACTCTCCTGTGGAGGAAAAAAACATGAAAAGCACCGTGAGATACCCCTGGCAGCCTCACTGTAAAGTTGTTCGGACCCGCTCGTTTTATGCCAGCAAAGCAATATTCTGCCGCCTCCGCCTTACTAATCCTTTCCTTGCGTTATCCCATGCTAATAACATCTAACAGTGAAAAAAAAAACAAAAAACACCATGTAAAAACTGAAGGAAACAGCGGGTGAGTTCTGGTGGGTGGGACAACTAGGTGAGGTAGGTGAGG